TAGATAGCACTTAACAACAACATGAGTCAGAATGGAGTTCTGGTGTGGCACTGTAAGATAAACACTTAACTGCTAACCACAAAGTCAGTGGTTCAAGCCTACCAGTCGCTCTTTGGAAATCCTATAAAGGGTTGCTATGAGTCAGAACTGACTCGATGACAGTTAACAACAATAACATGACTCAGAATTGACTTGATGACATGAATAAGAAAGATATTTGTATAGGGCATTGTCTAATTATAGGTGAGAATGATAAGTTGGATACAAATCATATTAAAAACCAGAAGAAAGAGCATTCCAACTAGAGGGAATAGTAGTGTAGGGGTCCTATAGTTTGAAATGAACCTGCCATAGTCTTGAAAGAACCACTTAGTCTAAGATGGAGTAGGCAAGAAAGGGTGTAAAGTTCTACAAGGGGAAGGAAGCGTAATACTATATTTGGCTGTATATCAATTAAGACAAGAAGTTGAATTTTATTCTAAACACCATGTAAAGCTGTTGGAGAGTTATGAATGGGGATTATGTATTCCTTTTTTATTAATATCATAAAAATGACAACAGACATAGCAGTTTGAATAGCATAAGTTTGTTGTCTTAGAATTCTGTTGGTCAGAAATCCAACACAGGTCTTCCCTGGTTAGAATCAATATATTGGTCAGGCTGCATTCCTTTCTAGGGAGGCTCTTCCCTTGCTCAGTTGTACTGTTGGCAGAATTCATTTCCTTGTGATTGTAGCAGTGAATTCTCCGTTTCCTGGTTGGTGTCAGCTGAGAAGCTTGTACAGTTTTTAGAGACCACAAGTATATTCTTCCTCTATCTTTAAAACTAGCAATGGAAGGTTGGGTCCCTCTCAGGCTTTGCACCTCTCCCCGTTTCCTTTTCCGTTAGTCTTTCTAACCCACTGTGAAAAGTTCTCTGCTTTTAAGGACTCAAGTGTTTGGGTTAAACCTACCCAGATAATTCAGGATAAGAATCTTCTCATTTCTCACATCTGTAAAGTCTCTTTTGCTATGTAAGTAACATATTCACAGGTTCAGAGGAGATTAGGGTTTGGGAATCTTTGAGAGACATTACTTTGATTACCACCGATGGTCACATCGAAGGCAACAAGAAACAGGTTCAAGTTGAAGTTGCCAAGATCTTTTGACTTTTGCGCTGACTGGGAGGTTACTTCCTTGGTCTGCTGAAGAACTAATACCATCGGTTCAGTCAATAGAACTGTCATTCTTGAAAGACAGCAACTATTATTGACGTTTTTAAAAGGTTAGGGTCCAGGGTTTAAGGAAGCACCAGTCTAAAGATGAATCCTTTCAGTTACTTACCACTGATACTCTACTAAATAAGTGCATTTGAAAAGATTTGTCAAAAGTCATTCATGGCTTTGACTATATGTGGTTGTTAAGTGTCGTCAAGTCAGTTCTGACTCATAGCAACCCTATACAGGGTTTCAGAGAAGCAGCTAGTGGGTTTGAACCATCAACCTTGTGGTTCACAGTTCAGTGCTTATCCTATGGCGCCACACTAGGACTCCTGAATTATATTTGTTGTTGAGTGCTGTCTAGTTGGTTCCAACTCATAGCGACCCCGTGTAGGGTTTCCAAGGAGTGGCTGGTGAGTTGGAACCACTGACTTTGTGTTTCAAATCGACCTTGTCGTCCAGTGCTTTATCCCACAGTGTCAAATCAGGACTCCGGAGTATATAACACAACAAAAAATATACTTGTTTAGTTGTTTTGAACTGGCAATTTAGAAACTGCTCTCTCCAAAGCTGTTTGAACTTGCCTAAGAAATGTGATACTTAGTACATTTTTTATTCCTTATTGGGGTATTACTGATGATAATCTTGGTCCCTTGTTAAGCAATTTTACATGAATCAGATTTGTGTCATCTTTAAATCAGTCCAACGTGGTGATATACTTAACCTTATTTTACACATGAAATGGAAGCATAACCAAGTTAATCAATTTGCCCGAGGTCATCCAGAGAAGACACTAAGACTTAGAGAGCATGAGCAATCCCCAGGATCGCACAATTAGCACTCAAGAAAGCCGAGACTCCAATCATGGTAGATGGACCCATGGCTAATGCTCTAGTCATTGTACCATCTGGCCTCCCCTGATTATGAATTATTGAGGAAGTCTCAGTTGGTGGATCATTCAATGAAATGACATATGATGCATTATTATGGTTTTGAACAAAATAGTTGCATTCATACTACTTGTTAAGGGGGAAAAGGTTGAAATGTCTTCTACCTCTTATTTCATCTGTTTTATTCATGCTTTTTTAAAAATTGCTTATTGCAGTGAGTTAATTCACGTGTGAACTCATCTGTGTCTTGATATACTGACATTCTTTTAATTTCACAGCAATCTTGCATGAGACTAGCCAATTACATGAAAAGCACGCTGAATCTTTACATAATCAACATCACCTTAGCAGCTAAAATGTGTAGCCAAGTGTTTTGCCAGGAACAAGGAATATGTGTAAGAAGAGAATGGAATTCAAGTGACTATCTTCACCTGAACCCAAAGAATTTTGCTATTCAAACTGTGAAAGGTGGACAGTACATAGTACGGGGAAAACCCACACTTGAAGACCTGCAGCACTTTTCTGGAAAGTTTCAGTGCAGCTGTTATGCCGGCTTCAGATGTAAAGAGAGAGACGATATAGAAAGCATTCATGCTATTAATGTGTGCATTGCTAAAGATGTTTGCATAGACACCTTTCTAAATGAAGAACCTACTGATCCTCTCAGGGGGAGAGAGAAACTTTCTGTTGCTCTTAGCAACATTTCATCTATTCCAGTGGCCATAGAGTCTCCGTGTGCTCCTGGGGCAGATCTCAGTGGGTGTCTCAAAGCCAATTTTTCAGAGAAAGCCAATGGCCAAAAGGACTGTTCAGGCGTTTTCTGGAAAAACATGTCCAGTCTTCAAAACAAAACAATCGAAGCAGCCAATTTGAGTACAAGTTCAGTGCTTGTTAAATATCCTATCCACACATTGTATATTTTGGTCTCTTTCAATATTTTGTATGTAATAGTTTAGTTTTTTTTAGGCAAGTGTTATTGCTTAATATACTTGAAATTTTGTATTTGAAATGTGAATCAAAATCCGTAGTCAAAATGCATTTTGACTTACTCTGAGCCAAGATTATTGTCCTATGATTGCTATGAGCTTTAAATTATTGATAGATGAAGACCCTTAACTGTAATATTTAATTTTCAAAATTATAATTGGGAATCAAATTCCTTATTAAAGCATTTTAGCTTTGAAATTCAAGTAGGATCTTGATGATTAATATAGTACAGAGTTTGCTTTGTAAAATGATACTCACTTTTTGTCTTTTTGAATTCCCATGAAGCTATAGCAAATATTTCAAATGCTGTGAATGTATATATAGAACTAAGAGCAACCTGTTATATTTTTGGATTTATTAAAGACTTATAAGGCTTAAAACACTTGGAGGCCTAGTTGTTTTTTGTTTTCTGAGAATAGTGAAGATTTGAGTAAATCTATTTACTGTAAGTGATTCATAAATAATTTATAATAAAAATGTCAAAAAACATTAAAGTGAAAAGCCCTATTTAAAATGTAAAATCCTAAGTGCTCTAGTCTTTCTCAAGCATAAACCTAGCTTTTTTATCTTAGTAATTTGTTATAACTGTGGTTTATAAAAAGGTAATCTTCTTAAAAAAATTATCCTGTCAAGTTTGGCACTAGGCTTTAGTAGGTCTTCAAACTTCATATATATATAAAGTATTCTAATTATCTTTTAATTCTTCATCCTCAAATTGAATCTTGATAGTATGCCTTATTTCATCTTAGCAGCTTCACAGATAAAAATCTAAATAAATCCAGACTCCAAAATGTAAGGACTGATTAAGCCTCTACCCTAGCCATCTAAGGCTAAGACAGATCACACAAATTTAAAGGACACTTTTCCTCAAACTGCCGAATAGCTTGGACTCTCTTACTTTCACTTGCAGGCTCCCATTATTCCTTTGGGTTTGATAATTCTCTGGAAATACTTACATACATATCTTACAGAAAATACTATACTTACTATTTCATGTTTATTATAACAGAAGGACACAGATCAGGATCCGTTTAAAGAAAAGATGCACATTACCAGCAGTGCTAATCAAACCTCTGTCCTACAAGAAAAGGCTCTTACTTTCTACTGATTTAGAATCATCAAGAGAAGCATAGGCTTATTAAAGGAAAGAGACTTATAAGTGGAGACCTTGTTGTTGTTTAGTGCTGTTGAGTTGTTTCTGATTCAGAACAACTCTGTATAGGGTTTCCAAGGAGCAGCTGGTAGATTGGAACTGCCGACCTTGCAGTTCAAACAGACCTTGTGTTCCAGGAAGGCTTTATGCAATGCTTAACTTCCAACTCCCTGAACAATGACTTGGTGGTGGTGGTGGTTATGTGCTGTGGAGTCGGTTCTGACTCATAGTGACCCTGTACAGGATTTACAAGGCTGTATATCTTTACGGGAGCAGAAAGCCTCATCTTTGGCCTGTGGAGCAGCTGGTAGTTTCAAACTGCTGACCCTGAGGTTAGCAGCCCGATTTGTAACACTATGCTACCAGAGCTGGAGTTTAAAGAAGTTTTTGGTGGGGAAAACGCATCATGTTTTTTTATAGATACACGAGGGGATTTCCAGGAAGTGGGCCATTTAGAAGTGACCATGCTAATTGGAGGAGTCTTGCTGTGGCACTGTGGAATAAAACACTGGATGCCAAGGTTGGTTTGAACTACAAGGGCAGCAGTTCAAACTCACCAGCTGCTCCTCGGAAACCCTATACAAGGTCGCTATGAGTAGGCAATGACTCGACAGCACTTCTTGAAGATGGAGCCCATCACAAAGGCCTCCGGTAGGGGCAGACAAAACTTGTTCTGGGCTGCTGTAGACTTCTGTCCCAGCCCCTCCCAGGGGCTGGTATTCCCTGCCCACAGGGAAAGGCCGCTTTTAAAGGTAGGTACAACCAGTTGGCTTGTAAAACATCTTGCAAGGAAGTAAAATACAGAGCTTTTATAGATGGCCTATTTATAATAAATGGACTGTCAAATGGACAAGGAGTACTGGTGTGGTGCTGGGGGCTGAAGCACTAGACTACAAGATTGGTTTGGACCGCAAGGTCAGTGGTTCAAATTCACTAGCCGCTCCTCGGAAACCCTATACAGGCTCGCTATGAGTCGTAACCAACTCTAGGGCACTTAACAACAACAATGAGCTGGGCAAGTCCTTGTGATTGATACTTTCACATTCTAAGGGGTCTCCTAGGTAACCTGCCTCAGGGAGACTTGGAGAGATAAAATAGCAGATGTTGGGGTCGGCTCACAGGAGGGCCTCGGCAGGACCCATCATAGTTACTCAGGGGACTTTTCTGGGAGGCTATCGGGTACAATTCTTAGAAATCATCCATCACTGAGAGTCCACTCAATAAACATTTACTGAATGCCCACCATATGTATTCCAAGCACTGGGTCATGTGGTGGGGATATAGTTGTTAAGTGCCATCGAGTCGATTCCGACTCATAGCAATCCTATATAGGATTTCTGAGGAGTATCTTGTGGGTTTGAACTGTTGACCTTATGGTTTGCAGACCAGTGCCATACAGTTTTTGTTGTTGTTTAGTGCCGTCGAGTCGTTTCTGACCCACTGAGCAGGATTTCTGAGGCTGTAAATCTTTACGGGAGCAGAAAGCCTCATCTTTCTCCCGTGGAGCAGCTGGTAGTTTCGAACTACTGACCTTGCGGTTCACAGCCCGATTTATAACCACTACGCTACCAGAGCTCCTACAGTAGAGGAGCTTCCTTGTCCCCCAGATAAAGTCTTTGCTTTCCTAGTAATTCTTTTCAGGAGGCCCCCTGGACTCCTTGTTTCACTATAAAGATTCCATGTCCCTAAGTGAGTTTTTCATCAACCAGAAACCTTTATGGGCTTTTTCTCTATCTAGAGCCTTTACTGGCTTTCATTGCATCAACATAACTGGGATCTCCTGGAATAGGCTTCATGGATTAATCATGCCCATGCTTCCTGCCTGAGGTTAGTTGATCTGGAGGTCTTTGGGCCTGGTCACCTTCCCATTTATTTGCACAAATCTTCTATTGTATGGAGATTTTAGATTACAAAACTACCTGGATTACTCAGCAAATGCCAAAGGTTATCATTCAAGAACCAAGGCCAGAGGCCAAATTGAGTTCTGCATCTCACAGTTCATCTACTGACATTTGGCTATGGTTTCTTTTATACACCTAGCTTTGGGAGGACTACTCCTCACCTCTTTAATCTACCACTATTTAGTTGGTCGGAGTCCTGGTGTGGCACTGTGGGTTAATGTACCATACTGCAAAGCCATTTGAACTACAAGGCCAGTGGTTCAAGCTCACCAGATACTCCTTGGAAACCCTATACAGGGTCACTATGGGTCGGAACCGACTTGACAGCACTTGAGAACAACAACAATAATTTACAAGGTCATTGAGATTCAGTTCTTCCTCGGGCCAGTTACTTATTGCATCCTGAGGAGGTTTTAACCAGTTTCCTAATACCGTTGACCAGCATTATCATTGATATTCAACTATTCCAGTGTTATACCATAAGCTGAAAAACTAAGAGTCCAAAGATTCCTACTTTACATTACTTGAGCCCCAGTTAGTCATTATGCATCAGCATTAGCTCATCATCATATCTATCGTATGTGTTCAAGAAAAGGCTGAGAAAACATTACAGTGACTATTGAGTATAACTGCTCTTGACTGAGAATAAATTTGAAAAGGTTCTAGGTCAGTTGGTCAGTTACTGTGAATGAATGTAATTTCTGTTTGACAGAAAGGTATTCATTTGGAAACATTTCATTTGAAATTATTTTAGATTTGGGAAAAGCTCCCTGCCAACCTTTCTGCTTCTCTGTGTACACTGTGTCAATGATTCTACTTTCTAAATTCTTCCCTGCTAAATTCAAGGCAATGGAAAAGTGGACTGTTTTTCTCTTGATGGCACTGTGGGATAATGTGCTGGACTGCAAGGTGGGTTTGAACTTTGAACTGCTAGGTCAGTGGTTCAGATCCATCAACCGCTCTTCAGAAACTCTAGACAGGGTCGCTATGAGTCAGAACTGACTCCACAGCACTTAACAACAACACCGCCATATTCTCACCAGGAGTTCTTTTGTGGTGAATTCCTTATGTTAGTTGAAAATAAGCAATCTGTCTATTTGAAAGTGTGCTTAAGGATAAACTAGCTAAAAGGAACATTTTGTGTGGTACTATAGGATAAGCACTGGACTGCTAACCACAAGATGGCGGTTCAAACACATCAGCTGCTCCTTAGAAACTCTGTAGAGGATCACTATGAGTCACAACTGACTCAACAGCACTTAACAACAACAACAAATGGAACATCTATCACTGAAGGGTCACTCTGTGAGGGTCTGGTCCTATTACTGCAGTGAATCAGAGATGGGGAGAGATCCAATCCAAGCTTTATTATCTGTATAAATTTATTATGCAGATCCACAGTCTATGTATTCTCAAATTATGACATAATTAAAGTCACTCAGATTTTCAAGTAAACTCTTTGAGACATTAAATTTCCTATGAGGAAAAAAGTGTTATTTGGCACAGACCTTAATTTCTTTAGATTTAAAGAAATTATTAACAGAAAGCCAGCAGTCGGGAGGATGGGAGAATAATTTATTAAGACTGTCCTGTCTTGAAGAGCAGGTACATTATATAGGATAAGTTACATTTGGATGTACACTTAATCTATTTTAATATCAAGATAGCATTCTTTTAGAAAAAGAAGCAATAAATTAATAAACTTCCTCAAACATTCTACCTTTAGGGACTCAGCTGCTCAATTCCTGAGATAAGAATCTGATGGGTTTAAGCACTTCCTGTCCTCCTTGTCCTGCTCAATTTCTAGAACCCTGTTGTTATTAAGTGCCATC